CAATTGATCCAGTCTTGCTATAATTAGCAGAATATGAAAACCTGCTGGTATTCATATGAAGCAGGATTCATTCAAAAACTTCTACATAAGAAGAAAACCATTTGGGATGATGAAGGAGGAACAATGTAAAAACCTATCAGAAATCAGAGGTAGGATCAGTTGCCATGGAGGAGTCAGCATTCCCTGCCGACCAGTCACACCCACCGTGTGCTCCTTGTAATGATAAAAAATAACGTAAAAATCCGTCGTCAATTCAGTGTATAAATGATGGACTACAATAAGTATGAAAAGTATCAGTCAGCCTTTGACTCAATGATATATTGTATTTGCTGACAAGGTTATTATATCGACCATACAACTTAGAAAAATGACTTTAAACAAGACTTGATATTCTTGTTTCCTCAACTTGTTCGTCAATAACTTACCTCATGTTATTGTATTTGAACAAAGAAAAATGAAAGTAAAACCCCTAAGTACATATAGGTGCATATTTTCAAACATGATTTAATTTTCTCCAATGATTTCATTTATTTCATACCAAAATTATCATATAAAAAGACACATTTCAATCATACAGATCCAAACCCATCTCATTTACATTCAACATCACAATTAACCAGATTGTACAGAGCAGCATTACTTTATACAATTTTTATTACTTTTTGTAAAGGGGCTGGATTCATTAAAACTATAATCAAACTCAACAGATCATATTAAAATATACAAGCTCTTACATAAATTCAACAACATAATATTAAATTTGAAAACAAAAAAAGTCACCCCTTTTACTTTAGATATCTGTAATTTTACTGTGAATTGTTTCATGGTTGTTCCAGGAATTTGAAGACAAATTGTAATCCTCTGTGTTATTAAAGTTCTCAAACTCCGATAAAGTCTCTTATAATACTTCTTTACCTGCGTTCCTAGCTGTTTGAAAAAATACTAGTAAACAAATATGAAACTAACTGAATATTTTTAGAGATTTCTTCAAACAGCATCAGTAAATCTCATCTCATGAAATCGGTCAAAAAAACAAAGAATATCTTAAGTATCTATACCTTTGTAGTTATTTTATTATCATTATCCATTAGTCTTGGTCTTTTATTGCTGGGCTAAAAAAGAAACAATATGAAATCAATCAGGAATTCCTAAAGGCACACAATTTTTTGAGTATCAATACAATTACAGATTAGAACTAAACAAGCAAGTAATCTGAAACAGAAAATAATCGACAGGGACAGTGTGCCTGGCAGTATAGAATAATCTAACTGTGATGAGGGCTTGTCCCTTAACGTTGTAATGTAGCATTTCTGAACGGATCCACTATGAAATGATTTCAAAGAATAAAAACGGAGTTGCAAAGCAAATAACTATGAAATTAATCATAAGGAGCCATTTTAAAATTGTATATTCCCTTCTCACTCTAAAAACTAATCCATATTAAAATGGAAATTCAAATCATTTTTTCTTGCTACCTTGCAATGCACAGAATGAATTGTATCATTAAACAATGTATGTAGGACAGTATTATTTTAATTATAAATTGTTCTATCTAGCTTGGCAGACATAGTTATTTTGTCCAAAAAAGTTCAATTCAGGTTTTGATTTAACTGTTTAAAATCATTGAAAACATTACATAGAGAAAAGTGGTTCACATGATTATGTCATTGTCTTTTTATTTGAACATTATATGAATTTCATGTAAAATTTTATTTTAATTTCATGTGAATAAGTTTGTATGATGTTCGCATAAATTTTTAGAACTTTTATGCACGATATTTATGTCATACGCTCTTTATGCAAAATTCATAAAAAAAAATCACTAAAGGTTTCATATAAATTTATTTTCTTTGCTTTTCATCTCTTTCTCTTTCTAAGAATTCACGTGAAATTAATGTGAATTTCATATAAATTTATGTGAGACACTTTTTCCTGTGTAGGCACCATTTTGAATAGTTTGCCATTCTAAGATGACCTAAGGGGGTGCTCAATCCTCCATGGCACCTGATCCCACCTCTGATGTTTCGGAGGTCCGTGTTTGCTCTGCTCTTATTTTGTTTTGTTTTATGAACTTTGATATTGAATACTGCTCGTTATCTCCATATCCTTCTCTTCTATCTTAATAAATATTTTTTTCTTTGTGTACAGTTTGATTTGGGGTTGGTTCCTTTATACAAAATGTCCAGTGGGCTCAATTCTTTACAAGTGTATGACATCTAAAAGAAAATATAATTAAAGAAGATTTTTTTGTTCTGACTCTCACTTCAAACAATGGTTCAAGACAATCTAAGAACAAGTATTATTTCATGAGTTATCAATGTTTACAGAAACACACTGAACTAAATGGGGAAATGTTTCCTCAGAAATGGTCAGCATTACACTGTCAGGTTTTTGTAGTTGATTGTAGAAATAACAAAATGCTGATGTTAAAGAGTTTTTGAAATCCATGAAACAGCAATGTAATTGTCAGTAGCCTACTTTGGTATCAAAAATGATCTTATCGTAACACGTTCTTGAGTATATTGAGTACTTGGAAGACATAAACGCCCTAGGCAGGTGGTAGTAGATTGTGTAAATACATCAATAATATGCTGACGACGGGAAAGCTTCAAAGTATACATTAATTATATATAATCTCCAGTTAGAAATACAATAAATACTTACTGCGCACCCTTAGCAGAAATCAAACTCAAATACATGTATGACTGGGAAAAGTTACCACAGAAATGTTACTTACAATATCTGAAATTGATTAAATCATTTCAGGTATATCTATATCCTCTAGATACTAAAGCAAATATCATGAAAAAGAATATAATTACATGTATAAACAATGATAAATCTCATGATCCTGTAAACAATTCAAATCGTAAACACAGGGCAAAGAAAACAAGCTTATTCAGAGAATTTGTCTCTCCCGCTTACGGACAAAGTAAACCATGCGCAGTTCAGGGGGTGGGGGTGATCTCCCTGACTGAATTTTTAGAATTATTAAATGTATACATGTTTACTGAAGCAAATAAAATATGTCAATATGGATATTAAGATTTCATTACTTATTCTTAAACTTATTCTTAATTATGTGCATAGAAGATGCTTTTTATATGGAATATTTATCACACTGTAATGATGATTTTACGAGCTTGTACAAGCTAGACCTCATAAATTTTTCATTTCACATGCTGAATACTATCATTAAGTAAAAAAAAAAGTATTACGGAAAAAAAATGGGTCGTCCTGGAATCGAACCCGAGACCTCTCACATGTGAAGCGGGAGACATACCACTACACCACGGAACTGCTGTACTAGAACTAAAATTATATGCAAAGATTAAGACACATACATGTATATATTCACGTTCGAAATTGTCACAATGCATGGTGTCTAATTTAACCTTCATTAAACAGTTCTAATAGATGTAATAAGAATATAAAGTCCGCCGAGAACCTGTTTTATACGTAATAACTCTCCTTCATGCCCCTGTGCTAAAAATAGCGACATGTAATACAATAAATACTATTAAAACAAACGGGGCGGTACACTTTGAGAGGGGTGAAAGAGGTCCTAGGGACTTTTAGTATAAAATTACATTGCAAAAGCTAAAAATTCTCTTGAAATATCACCCGATATCAAATGAAATATCAAACGATAGTGTAACAAACAAACAGAATGTATATATTTATGACCTTGAAATTTGACATTTTGACCTCAAAATCAGTTGGGGTATTTCTTAAGCCACAGGGATTTGTTCTGTAAAATTTCATTGCAAAAGCTCAAAGGGTTCTCGAGATATCGCGCGGAAACGAAAGTGTTATATTAGACAGAATTTGCGAATTTATTACCTTGACCTTTGACCTTTTGCCCTCAAAATCAATAGGGTTCTTCTTTAGTCCATAGGGAGTTGCTATGCAAAATTCATAGCAAAATCTCAAAGGATTCTCGAGATATCGTGTGGAAACGAAAGCGTTACAAACAGACAGAATGACGGACAGATAGACGGACGGACGAACAGAACCAAATTAATATCCCCCACTTTTCAAGCGGGGGACAAAAAAAAAAACACGGACCCTGGAAAAAAGAAGTGATATCAGGTAGCAATGGCAGACAGAAAGCTTGAAATGATAGATTTCTTGATTTCCCATTAACATGAACATAGGTCTGCTAATAGACTTTAAAATTAAAAGACTTAGTACTCAAAAACTTCATAGACACTGTCAATAAGGAACTCCAGCTTCTTTTAATATCAGCCTAATTGTACTTGTGTAAAGAATAAAAGTTATAATTATTCACAAATCACAATATATAAAAATTCATAAGTTCCAATTTTCCTCGTGATGCAGTTGTCTTTGATATCAAATGGTTCAATTTTGAATTCATCATTACGAATGATTGAACTTGTATATAGTGTAGAAAACTCAACCTGTAATATATACACGTAACTGATTTTTGAATAAAATCGTGATTCCAAAATCATCTTAAAATTCCTTGAAAGTTTGAGAATCCCAATTAATTTACATCATCGTAAAACTCCACAGGTTATGAAACATTTTGTATAATGTATAAATAATTTTTTTTCATTTCGGGCTATTATAAAATTGAATAACCAAAATCACTTTTTCCTTACGGAAGTTGACAAATTCCAAAGTGTGTTTTAGTTTTGTCTTATAATTAATCTCTCACATGACATAACGGAGCTATCATAAAATATGAAATTTCCACAATGTTGAGTGTGTTGGGATTTTTAATTTGAAAAGTATAAATGTGACTTTATAAAAACAAAATAAAAAAGAATTTGGTCTCAGAGGATGGCATCTCTTAACAATTTGCCCTTCATGTAAGGAAGACTAAATTTACTTATATTGCTGTTCTAGGTAGTATTAAATGCGAATCCTTAATTATGTTTATTTTTTTTCTTTATAGTGAGAGGGTTATACAAGACATATCACCGTTGGTGTTTGAGAGACTCTGTCAAATAGTGGGAACCTCAGAACTAGTTACCATGAGAAGGGATTTCATTGATCTATCTGATATGCTAACTTCTTTATTTAATCCACAAGCCTATTTACGTTTGATGTTTAGTGGAAGTCATAGAGAAGGATTTAGACTGGTGGAGTCCGATAGAGATTCTATGTACTGGCCTAAAAACCACCGGGTAATTTGGAATTTATCCCAGAGCCAGCTCTACAGCAGAAAAACACTGATTCTATCTGACTGCTCCCAGAGTCCACCAGGGTTTGCATTACTCCAATTGCTCTTTCCCGCCATTACTACAATACAAATCAGGTCTTCTTGTTTTACATTGAATGGCAAAGAATATATATCTAGTTCTGAATTTCGAAATATATTGCCGCCTATGACAGGGAAACCAAAATGCCATATCCATGGGCCGTGTAAAAGTGGAACTTTCCTAGGTGTAGAATTTGACGATGCTATCTGTTTTGCAAGTGATTTTTGGCCTCCATCTGCCCAAGCATGGATCGATAGATGTCACTCGTGGCCGAGTCCTCACGTAGTTGATGATATTGTCAGGAATGGATGTCACTTTGTAGCAATAGGGCACAAACTAGGAAATCACGCGGAAAATGAATGGAGAATTTCGTTCTCTCTTGCAGAGCAAAAGCTTGTATACTCAATGAACCACTGTCAGTTTCTTACGTATGGTTTACTCAAGCTAATTCTAAAAGAAGTCATCAAGGAAAGGATAGAAGAAAGTTTACTTTGCTCTTATCACATGAAAACAGCAGTATTTTGGGCTATTCAGCAAAATTTAATACCTCATTGGTATCCAGAAAATTTTCTGAAATGTTTCTGGGTCTGCTTTAAACTCCTTCTTAAATGGGTGTATGAAGGCGTATGTCCTAACTTTTTCATCCCAGAAAACAACATGTTTTTAACAAACATATTCGGTGAATCTCAAAGGAAGTTATTTCTCGAGTTATACGGACTGTATGAGAAGGGTATGGCATTACTGCTACACAGTCACTCCATCCGATCAACAATTATAATTGGTCTATGTCTCCCTGGAGTACGCATAAATACTGCAAAAGACGATGAAGAAATCTTGTTCGATTTGAATTTTTTGTTTGAACTAGAATCAAATAATCCAATAGTAAGGCCAACTCTAAACCGCTGTTTCGAATTCCAAAAAATATTGGAAACTTTGATGAATGGAAAGCTAACAAACTATCAAGTTCTCTTGGTACAGAATCTCACGGTAATCAACCTCCAGTGCACGGCTTTTGTGCTATGTAACAGGTGCGCTAACACTGCTGAGAACAAACTTGTGTATAAAGCTGATAAAATATCGTGCTACATGTTGAAACTAGCAGCAAAATTAGGATCTATTTCTGATATCCTTTACCTTGCAATGTATCATTACAAGACTTTCAGATATATGAAAGCAATATCTGTTTTACAGATAGCAAAGATCTACTTTGCACAACCATACGTCATGCATTCGCGTTACTTTAACAGTGAGAGGTATATCGAGGCGTTTGGGGGACAGTCTAGTGAAACAAAGATGAGGAGAGCTTTAGCAAAGGATGTCATTCTCTATAGAGACATTTACTATATCAATGAATTAACCCATGAACAGTGCTCAGAGACCTTCATCGCTACTATCATGAACATCTCCCCATTCGTAATGTTACATATGTTGGAATTCTTATGTTACAGGCATTGTGACGAACATCTTGCGGAAGATGCCTTAAATGATTTACAGATCTTTGTAAAGCAGGGCAAAATTCATCCAGGTTATAGAGATATATGTTGGCAGATCTTAGGGATTTGTCAGCAGCTCAGGGGCGACTTTCCATCAGCTCTGTATTCATATCGACAATCACTGAGACAGTATCCCACCCACAGCCTACAAAACGTAACGCTGAGGAGAATACATGATATTGTGTGATCTATATCACGAACTACAAAGTGTTTCAGATGATAGTTCAAGATTTTTTTATTGATCCCTACCGAACACAAATTATAAAAAATTCAACAAAGACGCTGAAAATAATTATGTAATTATTACTCTTCATCTGTATTTTTCACCTCCTTTATTTAATAATGCATGTTATGCATATTTAATTCAGCTTATATCTATTCAAGTATATAAGCTTAAGTATGATCTGTTTTTCTATTTAAAGTTATTGGAGAAGATAATTTTATCTTTTAAAGTTCAAAATCCATTTTGTCACAGAACGATTTTTAATTTATAAATCTATGCTGTAGCTTAGAGTCAACGTCTATGAAACTTAATGTAAATTCTAATTTTTACTTTTTTTCAATAAGTCAATAAAACAGCTTTAACCCATCTCTGTTATCTGAATTAATTTGGTCTCTTTTTTTCTTAAGGTATTCAATGTATAACGACCATATTTTGTACCTAATAAATGAACGGTCCAATATTTTTAATCATGGTAGCAATTTGAATATATTATCAAATGAAAATGCTCCACCAAAGGAATTTACAAAATTTTGATTATTGTCCAATTAATATCACTTTGAATTTTACATTGAAGTCTATGGGCAGTGCATGTTTTTATAAGATATTGTAAAAAGTAATTTGAATTTCAAAGAAATTTTCTTGGTGAAAATATGCATAAACTCCCTCTTTATTAAAATATTAAATAAAATAAATTATTTACCGCAGAAATTTTGTGAAATCAAAAATTTTCTTCTTTGCATCAAGGGCAGATAACTCTTCAAAAACTGTAAATGTGCAAAATGGCCATCTCCTTACATGTTATAAGTCTTGTGAATTTGGTTTATTTCACTTTTATCGTTTTCTAGCTGTGAGCTTTTAACTAGTTTAAAATTATTTAAAATCAGTCAAAATCCCTTCGTTATACATTGAATACCTTAATACTTTTCGGTTTCATTAATAAATATTAACATGATTTTGTATTGATACTAAGAAAAATTAATTCAAAAACATGAAAAGAAATCTCTGACTTTGGCCTTCATTTGGATATTAAAATATAAAGACGACCTTTTAAAGATTAAAAG